TATCAAGTTTTTATGGGATGATAAGATTAAATAATTACGATTAATCATTTAACAAACATACTTACACAAAAATTTTTGTAACTATTATTGTTTAGCTTGCGAACCCATCTATATGTTGCGTTATCTTTGCTGTACCATGTTTCAGTTTCTTCAGTTAACTTTTAACGAATTCTTCCATTTAAGAAAGTGATATACTCATAATATTTTATAAGTATAACACTTTTAACCCAATAGCTATTCGAATCAACAAATATTTAGAAACATACATTATTCAATCTTCGTCCATCATGATCCAAAGGAATACTGATTTGAAAATTAACGATAAAAAGTATCCATAAAAATATTATAATAATAGTTTCTCAAGTTATAGCAGTTTTGTGATGTCGGTAAATTAAAAATTACCAATAATTTTTTCCCCGCTCATTCGTAAGGAAATCTCCATGGAGATTTGAAAGCAATTCGAGCAAGGACCCACGTGCATCCGAAAAGAGGCATAAATCACGTGCAAGTTACTCGTAGCTGCAGCACGATGACCAAATATGATTCATGCACATGCACGAGGGCCTATGCTGACCGGAAACGACGAGAAAAGTAAAAACGAAATAATTATAAAAACCAATTAATGCAATAGTACAACTGGAAATAGCTGTACTGAGGATTAATATTAGATATTAGTATGTATACATTGAGTTTAAAAGACGCAATGTTAAAAACTGGGATGATTTAGAGTTAAGACCCATAGACTAAGCGAGAATATTAGCAAATGCTAGAATTACTACATATGGCTAATACAACCTGTACACGCTACACCATTAGCCAGTAATAATATTACATAAATCTACGAAAGCAATCTTATTGACTCTCAAAGAATTATCCGATCTTTACCATTCATGTTCGCAGGCTCATGGTTTACTGTACAACCCTTTTGTATCGCGTTAATAATTTCATAAACATACTGCAATAGCCTAAATTGTAATCTTGTTAAAAACTGTCACTGCTTTAAATATAAATGAATACGGGAAAGTCATGGATTTTCCCCCTTTTCCTGATACAGAGATGTCGAGAGAGAGAGTCCGCATTCTTGCCCCCAACATGGGTAACGGAATTTCCGATTCCCCAGGGCACCCTGAGCCGACTTCCTCTCCTACGACAAGCAGAGAAAACCATAGTTGACCAAATGCTACTAACATTTGAAAATACATGTACAACTAACAATGAATAAAAACTATTGGTAAATCTAAGTAAGTTAACAATATAATAGTTCGCGACGAGCACCCCACTACTGTTTCTATAGATATGCGTGTTTTAACCACAGAAACCGCTTTTGTTAATTAATCATTCATGATTATTTATTAGTCCGATCAATGCTCACGTGTACAGGTGTAACTAGCGGAAAATCTAGCAATTATTAAAGTTATTAACATCCAAAATTAACTACTACTAAGATTATTATTAATACCACGAGGTACTGAACATCTATTCAATCAAACCTAAATATTAAGCGATTTTTACCGCTCTTTTTGCATTGGACTCGATTGAATGGGTTAACAATGTTTACTATTAGTTAATAGTGATAATACCACATCTTAACGTTAATATTAAGTAATAATAAGATCTTGTAACTTTTTGATGTAAAAGAGAAAGGAAGGGTATGAGTAAGTGAATCACCTTCCCTTCTCTTGATGCATAAAGACGAACAAGCCGGATGTGGGATGTGCCAATTTCTGAGTGGCTAAACTAGAGCAGTTCTAGCCAATTAGATTTTCGGCTATTATGTTTTCTTCGAAATTTTCCCCCGGCAAGTTTTTCTGCGTTTTTCGTGCCAGCGCATGACCGAGATCCGCTTCTCGCATTAAAAAAGCCTGGAGGCCCAGAGGAAAATGAGTTCGGCACATGACATTCGACGATACCCTTCCAAGTAGACTAAGTAGTGAGAGTCCGCCTCTGCTACAACCTAGTCTACTACGCAGCGAGGACACAGTCGAATTTCGTTTGTTACCCTCGAACGATCAACTAGTAACCAGAGTCCGCCTCTATTGCCACTTGATCTTCTTCAATCGCGGTTTCCGTTCTACGCTGGTTCACCGCCTGTACCGAGTTTTCCTTCTTAAATAAAAGTAAGGGAAAAGTTATCGAATTTCTAAAGCTTTTTTCTTCCTATTAAGTTGTTTGCGCGAACACCATTACTCGCCATAGCATTGGTACCCGTGGATCACCGGGAAATATTAAGTTGTTTTGCGCGGACACCATTACTCACCATATTATTGGTACCCGTAGATCACCGGGAATATTAATTTAGCCACGCGTATACCATTGCTCTTAGCGGTAGTAATATCATCAGAATAACAAGGACCAATTGGAGTAAAACAAATAGTCACAACGATATTAGTGCATCAAAGTCAGATCGCGAGTTAACCCATCTCTTCCCCACGTAAAGCAGAGAAACGATACCCTTACTCATGACGGTGCTGACAGTTCTTAGATTGCGAACCGGATACCCTTCGATACACCGCTCTTGGTAAAATCGACCAACCTTAAATGAGCCACGAGCAAGTACATCGGAATATTGTACAGCAGTCGGTCCTAGTCGCGTGAAAGCAGTCGTAGCCCCTTTGCGGTTACTGCAACGTTAATTTGAACTACCCCTTTATCCCCACGTCCCGCCTACGCGCCCAGTGCGAGTCCCGAGTTATTAAGCGAAAGCTTAGACTCAAATAATACGTTGCGCCGACGTAACAGTTTTAACACTGTTTTTATAAATAAAAGAATTTAATGACAATTTCCTCCTTAACGAATTAATTTATTTTTAAAATATTTTTCTGTATTACATAAACCTTTTTTTACAACTTATTTTAGTATTTTTTTTAAGAATGATTAAAGCTGTATTCTAAGTCATTAAATTATCTTCTCGTAATTTTTTGTTACATGAGTCGAACATTTCTTTAGTGAAAGATATTACTGTATTTTAAAGATTTTGTGTATCTTTAATTTGTTTTGGTATCAATAGACGAGAGCATTTACATGATTTATTTTCTAATTCTTGAATTAATTTATATATGAAAGAGCATGATAACTCCTACTGTCAATTGATTATTTTATAGTATTTTTTCAGTATTTATGTGGTATTCTATTACCTTAAATATTTTCTGAAATTAAGAAACACGGAAAACATAATGTCTTTATTAATTACGAAACCTAAAGTTAATTGCTTCTCCGTTTGTATTGTCAATTTGACAATTATAATCGATTAAGCCCATTGCGGTTTCAGTGTCTTTACACGTCTGGCATTTAATTTTTTTATTTGTTTGAATGTCTTCGAAGGATATTTGACCATTTATTTTATTTAAAATAAGTTTTATAAAAATCTGTTAATGTTGCTTTGAAGATACTATACATCACTTGAGCATAAGCGTGTTCCTATTGGTGTAAGCCTAGGAAAACCCAGGCTTTAGTTAATCTATCCGCCTTCCTCCCTACGATTCCGGCGAGCTTCTACGCGAGTTCATCATTTTTAGTTGAATGTTATAATTCTCAACATGGTCTTTTAAGCCAGATCGTAGGGAGTGGAGCTTTATCATAGCTCTATTACCTTTGACCACGCGACGAACTGGCAGCTATGTTGATTGCATTTGCTTACACATCTTAACTTTTTGTTGCGTCAACAAGATAAGTCGTAAGGCTCCTTTTTTTTGTATACGTTTGCTTTCGAGCACGCTGTATAAACATTGAATACATTTACGTGTTCTTTCTCTCTCATTGTGCATGCGTTTGCGTGCACTATTCGAGCTAATCAGCACCTTATCCATTTTTTCTCTTGTTTCTCGTGTGCACGAGAACATCTATCTTTATTATTAATACGTGTAGCGTAGAGGAGCAAGCATAAAGTCAGGGTATACATATAGACATACACTTAATGACATTTTGGCTCACATACTTTGTTCGCTGTTGCTGCCAGGAGTCGACGCTCTGGCTGATGCCTTTGTCATCATCTTAACCGCTACGAGTTGATGCGATTCCTGCTGACGCTGCTGCGAGACGATGCCATTGTTGCTGCTGTCTCTGTGTGCTACTGCTTTGCTGCTGTTTATCGTATTCTTCTCGAGGTCTGAATATGCAAGCCCAGCACTGAAAGTCTTCTTCTAGGTTTATCGTTGTTGCTGTCACCACCTTGCTGCTGTTTGTCACCATGAAAAAGTTTTTTTTTATTTTTTTGAATATTTGCTAACATAGCTACTTTAGATAATACGTTCCTTTTTGTTTCACTATTACTTAAGTATTTATATGTTGATTGCGCCTTTTATTCTTTTTTTTTTTTTAATTATTTAAAAATAAACTGTTAGACTTGGTTTTCATAGTTGATGCTAAATCCTGTATAACTTATATCTTCTTATTCGTAAAACTAAAGTAAAAATTTGTTGGAAAATTTTATGTAGGACATCTTAATTGATTAACTTTAATTATTTACAAAATAACACTTTAAAATCTAGGCAGTGATTTAAGGAGTAAACTACTGATTTTATGTTATGAAATTAGATTTTTACATAAGAGATTGTAGGACTGGTAAGACTATCTATAGCTAGTGATAGACTTCCCCTTAGTTGTTAGAATACTATCTTAAGCAGGTGTTCTCCAATCCGAAATAGTTCAACTAAACGTTTTTCCTTGAACATTCGGACATAGTGTTGACCAACTTTGTTGAAGTTTAAACTAGTTTCTTTTCCTTTCTTAGAATTTTCAATAGAAGTTCTTCTTATTTAATCCTTTATTAAGTAGTAATACTTGTTAAGAAATGAAAGGTTATTACAAGACTCAGTTAGACCTGTACAATAAAATAAAGAATTCGTTCTCTGACTTTAAAAAGATGGGTCAAGCAAAAATGACTCAAAGCCAAGCAATCGCAAGGCAAAAACAACTCAATGCCTTTTTCGAGCAGTTTCAGCAAATTCATTCGCACATCCTCGACCTGACTCCTCTTAATTTAAATTACATTTATTTTAAAGATGAAGCTTTTAGCAAATAGGAAGATTCCTATTAATCAAATTATGGTGAGTTTATTGATCATCGTAATCAGCTTAGACCATCAGAGGTCTCAACACAGACCACTCCCCCCTGGAGCTGGTGTCATCAATTATACAGCGTCAACCTTACCTAACATAGATCTCCCCCGCTTCAGTGATGATCGAGCAGGTTGGCAGAATTTCAAGGATGTCTTTCATACATTGGTGCACAATAAAACTGAGATACCATTAATTCTATCTTCGTTCACAAGTAACTGGTGGAGCTGCTGAGCCCATCAAAACTTGCCTCTAACTACTGATAACTATGTTCAGGCTTGGAACTCCTTATGTGAATATTACGACAGTAAACGTTACTTAATAACAAATTACGTACATTCGACCATGACCATGACAATCCTATAAAGAATAGTTCAGTAAGCGAACTTAAATCATTGATGAGTGAACCCGTTAGTTCGCTCGCAGCCCTGGAAGCTCTCAACGGACATGAACATGGTCTAGGAGAGTTCTTTATAGGAGTAGTTTCTAATAAATTACATTTCAGTACTGCCGAGGATTGGCAAAAACATTAAGGTGCTTCTACTGAACTGCCTACTCTGGCACAGTTTAAAGAATTTTTAAACGCACAACTAATGACTTTAGAGTCTTATACGCCCAGGCCTAAGTCAGGTTCTGTGGCTCAAACAGCTAAGCTGAGTAAACAGGGTAACTCGTCTCCTGTAACTATGGCTCACCCAACAACTACCTTAAAACCTAAGGTTTCTTGCCCTTGCTTTGATAGTTCGGATCATAACATCCGTAATTGTGAAGTATTCAAAACAAAGAGAGAAGAGTATCTAGCTTAAATCTAACCTCTGTTTAAAATAAGCCATTAAAAGCATCACACTTTGATGCATCGCGAAATAAAGAAAAACACTACTGACTTGTAAAACCGCGATGCCAAAAAGGGCACATCTACTCAAGTTGTCTTGGTAATTCAACCATCGATTCCTGTAAAATCAGTACTCTTAGTTACAGCTAAAGTGCAAATAGTTACTCCGTCAGGACAAGGAATTTATGTGAGAGCGCTTATTGATCCTTGCTCTCAAGTGTCCTTAAGTTCTAAGGCACTCGCTCAAGCATTGAACTTACCACTTAAAAAGGTAAATGCTTCATTGTTAGGTGTTGGAAGTCAAGTGTTGACTATCGCTAGGCACTCAGTTGGCTTCTAAATCAAACCCCATTTTCACTCTCATTTTACGCATGAAGTAAATGCTCTTATTGTTGATAAGGTATTGTCTTACCAGCCATCTTCGTCGTGTTCAACTTCGAATCTCGACCATTTAAAGGGGTTACAGCTCGCTGATCCTAAATATCTGAATAATGATCTGATCGAATTATTACTCAAAGCCACTGTCCATGCCCGAATTATTGAAGGCTCCATTACAAAAGACAACTCAACTGGTCCGTCCATCCATTACAAAAGACAACTCAACGATGGCCTCTAAATCTGCATTAGGCTGTCGTCTGTCTGGCTCTTCATACGGTCAGTCTCATACTCACCAAAATCATTTAACGACTTTTTATGTCAGCGAGAAAGAATCTACCCTATTTGATTTATTGCAAAAATTTTGGCAAGTTGGGGAATTTTTACCTAAACTTACTCCATTCTCAGCTGATAAAGTGGAGTGTGAGAAATTCTTTCAAAGAACATATACTCGAGATCCGTCAGGACGATTTACAGTTAAGCTTCCGTTTAAAAAATCTCCTAAGATTTTATATGAATTCCAAGCTGAATCATTAAAAAAGGCCAAAGTTATGTTTTCTAAGCTGGAGTGACGCTTCAAGTCCCATGCTCAGCTTCGTGAGTCATACAGCAAATTTGTGCTTGAATATCAAAACCTTAAACACATGACTCCAGTAGATAATCACGGAAACCCTGTGTGGTATCTCCCTCACCATGGAGTGTTGCGTGAGTCGAGTACAACGACCACACTGAGTAGTTGTCAATGGTTCAGCCACTACTCGCTGTGGCATATCTCTGAATTCTTGTCTCCATACGGGGGAACATTTGTTACCGAATTTATTTGAAATGACGTAAATACAAAGTTGTATTTTCTGCTGATGCAGAGAAAATGTTTCGACAGATTCTCCTGCATAAATCAAACCAAAATTCTCTGGCGTTAAAACCTCAGTGAACCTGTAAAATCATACCTTCTCACAACTGTCACATATGGTCTAGTTTGCTAGCCTTTCTTCGCCTCTCGAGTACTTGAGGAACTAGCGCTATTATATTTTTAAGAGTACCCTCTGGAAGCTCGAATACTTCGAAAAGAAGTTTACATGGATGATTACCTATCAGGCGCTCAGTCAATACTAAAGACAGTAAACAAAATAGATAAACTGACAAAATAATAAGCTTAGGTTGTTTTTAGTTGAGAAAATGGTGCAGCAATTCAACCTAAGTTCTCAAAAACATACCCCCTGAACTTTGTTATATTATTGCTTTGGATTTATTAGAATCTATTGAATCGACCTCGGTGTTGGGTATTAAATGGAGGCATAGCACTGATGAATTTTACTTCCAAACAAACAATATTAGGAGCAATGTAGCTTGTACTAAAAGCTCTTTTTTAGCTCAAGTTGTCCTATTTTTCATCCGCTAGGCTGGATTTTCCCTGCAATTCTTAAGCCAAAGATAATGATGCAGGAACTGTGGTTACTAAAGACTTTTTGGGATGATAGGTTGCCTCCTAAATTGTGCCAAGAATGGCGCGGTTGGATAAGTGAAGCGTTGTTAGACGATGCTCGTTTTTGTTGGTCAGATTTTATCAGGGAGTTTATTATTTTTAAGAGTATAAAGCTTACTTTCAAGCCTCTGAAAGAGTAGAAAATCCAGCTGATCTTTTAAAATCGGACATCTACTTGATAAAATTACGGCCAAACTTCATTGATGGCATACTTACAGTAGGTGACATGCTCGTTAACACTTAAATGTGTGACGAAATTAAGCACCCTCTTATTTTTGCACCCAAAAGTCATTTAACTGATCTAATTGTTCGTCATCTTCATCAAATTACTCTGCACGTCAGCGTGCAAGCTGCGTTTTTCTCTATTTATCAAATGTACTGGATAGTACGTGGTCGTCTCATCATCTAACCAATTCTAAACAAATGCATCAAATGCCGAAGGAATCACAGAAGCAGCTCATAAGGGACTTGCCTCAATCCCGTGTAGTTATTGTCCCTGCGTTCACTAGAATAGGCGTTGATTATACAGATCCTTTCCCCATTAGTTTAGCTAAAGTCCGAGGCCGTGGAACTTGAAAGGGGTACATAGTGGAATTTGTGTATACGTCAACAAAGGCTGTTCACCTTAAAATAGTAGAGGACTATTCTTTTTTACCTTCTCTCGCCGCTTTTCACCGTTTTTCAAGTTGTCGTGGTCAATGCACTGACCTTTAAAGCAATCAAAACACTAATTTCATAGGTGCTGCTTCTGAACTTGAAGAGGCTCTAGTTCGAATGCTATTATCGGATAAACTAGGCAGTCAATTATTAAATTAAGGTACCAATTAGCACTTAAACCCGCCTTCCGCTTCCCATTTGGGAGAGTTATGGAGAGTGGTGGTGAAATCGACTAAGGATCACATAAAAAAAGTCATCGGTGGGCAAGTCCCGACGTTCGTAAAATTTTTCATCCTTCTTTGTCGTATTTAGGCATGTCTAAATTCTTGATTTTTGTTAGCTCTCTCAGATGATCTTCAGAATTTTCTCTCCTTGACTTCTGCTCACTTCGTAAACGTAAAACCTGCTCTATAAAATCACTTGAGTATAAGCGTGTGAAAACCTACGATTTAGTCAATCACCGTGTGACTGAGGGATTGTCTCGTCAGTTTGCGTGATCCATGTAATTAAGTATAGCGAGCGCACGCATCTACTACATGTATATATATCGAACGTGCTGAGTTGGAGAGAAGCCACAAGCTTGCTCTTCGGTGCGCTTCCACTTTTCAGGCTGGTAAAGCGTCCCTCGCTGCTTCTCGGGCGCAGTGCTTTGCACGGGTGGGAATAAAACATTGTGGCTTTGCTGGGCCAAAAGCTTGTTTTTGCCCTAGGACGTAATGTAATTGATGGGTGGAAAGTGTGCCCACGGGCGCAAAGTTGCACTTTCCGCCCTCGATACAAAATATATCGCTCTTACCTTGTGCATAAACATACAATGTTCAGAATCTTGAAAGCAGCAGTGTCTTTCCAAATTACGCACACTTTTTTACAGTAAATGTGATAGCAGCACTGCATGGCTCATGAATTACAAGCTGGACTAACTCTTAATGTTTTCTAGTTGCGCACCTTTTTCTAACACGCTGGCGTATGTGATTGATCTGCTTTTGCTGTTCGCGCGTTTTTCAGCAAGTTAAACTCAAGTCTTTTTTTTACTAGTCATCAAACAGTTAATATTCAAAATCATCTCAGGTATTATCTCAAGCTAGTTGATCATCAGATACATCAAATTAGTATCAATAACATACTGTTCAACTTGATATGTTCATAGAGTAAGTTTTATACAAAAACCGCTCAAGTAAAACACGTGTTGTAAGGTTTACATAACCTATCAATCATAGAAAGACTCGTTATACAGAGGATAACACTCAATATAAAACAGTTATATTTCATTTGTACCTTTGTTGCAACAGTGCACACAGACAATTTCACTATTTTATTTGCTCTTGTGAGTATAGATATACTCGGTGGTTATAAACTCAATAGTGATACTTCGTGACAATTGTCTTCTTATTACTGTATTATCATTTTTTTTACTATTCACTCTAAGTTCACTAAATATTATTGTTTTCTTTTATAGATTAATCTTAATTGTTTTCATTTTGTTAAAAACTTAGTGTAAATATTGTGTATAAGATTTAAGTTTTCTTTGGTATTTTTAATGTAACAGTTGTAATTAAAATTTCTTATTATTATTATAAACATTTTGTTGTTCATTTGTGTTGCATGCTCACACCTACCTGATATAGCACCTTAGTGCATTAACATCAGTACTCAATAATCAAACATACAACAAATGCGCCCTTTTGGCGCGCTAGTTGTACTTTCTGCCCTACGTAAGAAATATACTACTGCATTATTTTTTTTCTAGTCCTAAAACTGTACGTGCAAGTAAAAATTTACTCTTGTCGCATATTTCCTGAGAGTAAAAATTTTGAAATTGTTAATTTACTTCCATGGATGACGTGCTTATAGACTTGTAACTTCAAAAAAATTTTAACTATTATCTTTGATTTAGCATGTCTTATAAAGTTTTCTGCATACGATTCAAAAGCTAGAAACTTTTTTTGTAAGTGTATAAAAATTCTGTTTATAGCCGTCGTCAAATTATTAAATGATATAATGTTTAAAGATTAGTATTTCAAAATAAGGGTGACTAACGATTGATATTTTTATTTTAGATCGTGCAAGAAATTAATTATTTATTGAAACAACGACCGCACTTGAAATATACAGATGTCTTTTTGATATTACTGCATATTAATATAAAATGCGTAGACTTCAATGCAATCTGCATTAACGTGGATAGTGACCAAGACTTGAAAAAAAACAAAAACTTCTTGACGAGTAAAAAGGAAAGAATAAAAAAAAACAAGCTAGAACGCATAAAAAAAGAGATGTTAGAGAGCAAAGCAGAAGAAAACCAGGCAGTGAAGTTAAAAACATTTACAGAGATAAGAAAATTACTTCTCACGATGTTCTTTCGTACTTTAAAACAATCTTACAATAGCTCTATTTTATCACTCTGTTTACAAGGATTATTAAAGTAAGTATTTTTTAATTTCTAATGCTTAAAATTTTTTATTGAACTTAATTAGTTTTCTTGATGCATCTGCATAAGTAGAAATTTGCTTATACAATCGTGGTGGTAAGAGTCTTTACTAGTGTTATAAATTATGTACAATTTTTTCTATATAGTACAGTTTATACCTATAAACATTTATATGTAATTACATAAGTACATGGGTACTTAAATACGTACATACGTTAATACGTACATCCATACATACCAACACAGTTATATACATTACATATATTTCATGCATACAAACGTAGAAATAGTTAACGTATATTCTAAGTTCTGTCGTTTACACACATGCTTACATACACAAACACATATGTATAAACACACGCATAGATACGTCTGTCCACATCTATACGTATACACATACAAACAAATTCTCATACTGACGAATACTTGTGCATTGAAATATGCGTACTTACATTTGTACATAAAATTATGTATTCATACACACGATGATACTCATATGTGCCTGCACGTGCATTCACCATTACATTGTTTTCAATCTTAACCACACTAGCTATATTTAATTTCTCGTTGTCTCTGCTTTATCAATATTTTTAAACCTTGAGTTCCTTGCATAACACCTCACATAATTACTTTTTCAGACACTATACTTTTTCACGCTTACACTAACACAATTTTACACTTAACTCAAATCTTTTCAATTTTACATTACATCTCCCTTTCTTGCCTCTCTCTTCTCCTCATAAGTTTCTCTAATGTCGTTTCAAGCATTTCTATGTCCTTCAGTGGCTCAATATCTTTTCTCTGTTCTCCCTCTGTCTCACTTTTTCTCTCTGCCGTTGGGCGTTGCTTCTACTTTTCAAATTTTCCATTTTTTTTGTTTTTCTTTCACTATACCTTATCTACCTGGAATTTATTGTAGCATATCCAAGTCCGCTCACCTTTATTTTTCTCTTTCTTAGTTTTTTTCACTGCTTTTCTTTGTATTTTTTTTCATTATAGTCCTGTTATTATCAATTGAAGTGCTACGTGGTAGCAAGATTTTCTTTTTCGTGTCTTCTCCTTTTGGATAACTTTATAGCATTAGTATCGTAATGTTGCCACGCTTATTCTCCTTTTCAAAGTTATATTTCTATAGGCCTGTTTTGCCCTAAAGAGTAAATCAACGATTTCAGGTTAAGGAAAAAGTGTCACAAAAGTTGATTTTGCTTGATTCTCCCTCTTTGTCCCAACTCTCTTGACAAATGTCCGGTTCCTCTACACCACATAACGCCACCACACCACACAACATCGTCCCACCATACTACATCATACATTTTAATCTTTTCTTTTTCTTTTAACTAATTTCTTAACAATAACAAAAAATAAATTTAAAAAAAACATGCCCACTGGCCGAGGCTCTTACCTACTCTGTTATGGACAGGATCAATACAAGAAAATCAATTACTTCATGTTATCTTACAGTTCTTACTTTACTTTTAATGTAAATTTTTATTCACTGTGTGTTAATTCATTGGGTTTAATTATACATTAAATAAATTTATAATTTGTTTCATGAAATATATTTTTTTGGTCTACGTTTTTTTCAAAAATTTGGAAATAAGTATTTTTTAGCAGAGCAGCTTTCATATGTATTAATCAACATTTATGTACTTATTAGTAATTTGTTACTTATAAAATAAAAAAATAATTGTTTGTGCAATTTGTTTTATTTTTTCATAATTTTTATAATTAAAAAAAACCAGATGTGGTTGTCAGGACCCTCGGCAGATGTGAAACTTCCAACTCAAATGTTATTCAACTTGATGTAACAGAAACTAGGAAAATGAGATTACACCTAATTTTAATAGGTCTTTAAGAATCCGATATAAAAATAGTAAAAATTGTATAATAATTACGTACTCGAGTACACGAGTGCATAAAATACATATAATTTTGTTACATCTGATTCGCGCATTCTAAGTACTTCTATGTTTGCTATGATAATATATGTATTGATACATCAATGAATGGTTGACCATGTAATGCAGAATAAAACAAAAATTTTCACTATAGTGTCCCGAAAAAAGGAACTTTTGTCCAGTTACGCGGGACAAAATTCCTTTCATTTTAAATTACTGTTTGTGCATTTTGTTCGTACATTAATATGTACAATAAATTCTAGTTGGAATCATTGTATCCGACAAATAAAAAATTTTTTCAATGTTGGCTACCATAATAGTAAAATAATCTACTCTACTTATTTAATAAAAATTAAGGAAAACAATTGACACATAGCTGTTTTCCATTATAAAGTTGTAATTTTTCATTTAATTCGTTTTCTAT